GAATTGTAATTAGTTATTATCAGCTATAATTAGTTATTATGAGTTGTAATTACCGACACTATTATATATAGTATGAAAGGCAATGAGAAAGACATCAAGCCAAATTTCGTGACATGGTATCAGTAGGTTCGATCAAACCTGGAAAATATTATTATATTGGCTGATCAGCGATACCCCACTGGTTCGCTCTCGTAATCGTGTTCGTTTCGAAATTCTTTCGTTTGAAATCGAAACCTTGCAGCTGTCTGAGATTCTAAATCTTTGGTTGCCGGTTCGTGATTTCGTCTTGGAGATTCTCGTTGTTGCGCTGATATTGCAATCAATTTTTTTTGATTCTTGGCTGTTGTTGCTTCGTGATTCTGGATCGTCATAATCTTCTGTTTTGCCGCTCCTTCCAAATCGTGGATTTGATCGTGCTGTTGTTCGTTGGTTCGTGAGTATTGTTTCTTGTTGCTGCTCTAGTAACTGTGATTACAGTTACTGTTATTATATTATAGTTATTATTATTATTATTATTATTATTATAATTATTATTATAATAATAATAAAATAATATTAGTGAGATTGTATCTGGTGGTTTAATAATTTAGATGGCTTCCGAAAAAGAAAGAGATAATTTTTGTGTTCGTTTTACCGGCAAGAATTATTCGGCATGGGAATTTCAGTTCAAGATGTATGTTAAAGGAAAGGGATTATGGAGTCACTTAGATGATGTTTCTAAGGCACCAACGGAGAAAACTGCTTTAGATGCGTGGGAAACTAAAGATGCTCAAATTATCACTTGGATTCTAAACAGTATTGATCCTCAGATGATAAATAATTTGCGTTCTTTTTCAACTGCTCAAGAAATGTGGAATTATCTGAAGCGCATTTACAACCAGGACAATTCGGCAAAACGTTTTCAGTTGGAGTTAGACATCGCCAACTACAAACAAGGTGATTTGTCTATTCAAGAATACTATTCTGGTTTTTTAAATCTTTGGGCAGAACACTCTGCTATTATACATGCTAATGTTCCCAAGACCTCTCTTGCGGCTGTTCAAGAGGTCTACAACACAAGTAGGCGAGATCAATTCCTCATGAAGTTTCGTCTAGAATTTGAGGTTGTCAGAGATGCTTTGCTAAATAGGAATTCTGTTCCTTCTTTGGATACATGTGTTGGTGAACTTCTCAGAGAGGAACAACGTCTCCTTACTCAAGGAACCATGTCTCATGATACTGTCAGTTCTGAGCCTGTGGCAATTGCATATGCTGCTCAAAGTAGAAATAAAGGTCGTGATATGCAACATGTCCAATGTTTTTCTTGCAAACAGTTTGGACATATTGCTCGTAGCTGCAGTAAGAAGTTTTGTAATTATTGCAAACAACAAGGTCATATCATTTCTGACTGTCCCACGCGTCCTCCACGACCAGCACATCATTCGGTGAAGGCATTTCATGCCACTACAGGTCATACAATTGGCTCTTCCACCACTGGTGCATCAGATGGCAATGCTCTACAACCTGAAATGATTCAACACATGGTACTTTCTGCCCTTTCAGCCTTGGGTATTAAGGGTAAGTCTTCTCATGTTTCTCGTCCATGGTTTATTGATTCTGGTGCATCCAATCACATGACAGGTTCATCTGAAAACTTGCACAATTTACATTCTTATCATGGTAATCAGAAAATTCAGATTGCTAATGGTAATACCTTGTCTATCACTAACGTTGGGGACATAAACTCGGATTTTCAGAATGTGCTTGTCTCACCTGGACTTGCTTCTAATTTATTGTCTATTGGTCAATTGGTGGACAATAATTGTAATGTTAATTTTTCTCGATCTGGTTGTCTTGTGCAGGAGCAGGTGTCGGAGAAAGTGATCGCGAAGGGGCCTAAAGTGGGAAGATTGTTTCCAATACAGTTTATTTCTAATTATTTGTCTCTTGCTTGTCATAATGTTTTGAATTCCTATGAGGATTGGCATAGAAAACTAGGTCATCCAAACTCTTCTGTTTTGTCTCATTTATGTAAAAGTGGCTTGTTGGGAAATAAAAATGTTATTCCTGATGCCTCTGTTTCATGTTCTGTTTGCAAATTGGCTAAAAGTAAGACACTTCCTTTTCCGTCTGGTGCTAATCGTGCTTCCACTTGTTTTGAGATGATTCATAGTGATGTATGGGGAATGTCTCCTGTGGTTTCTCATGCTCACTATAAATATTTTGTCACATTTATTGATGATTATAGTCGTTTTACTTGGATATATTTTCTCCGTTCTAAATCCGAAGTGTTTTCTATGTTTAAGAAATATTTGACATATGTTGAAACTCAATTTCAAGCAAGTGTTAAAATTTTTCGATCTGACTCTGGTGGTGAGTACATGTCTCATGAGTTTCAGGAATACCTTCAACAAAAAGGCATCTTGTCTCAACGGTCTTGTCCCAATACCCCTCAACAAAATGGCACGGCAGAACGTAAGAATCGTCATTTGCTTGATGTAACACGCACCTTACTTCTCCAAGCTTCTGTACCATCCCGATTTTGGGTGGAGGCTCTTTCCACGGCTGTCTTCTTGATCAATCGTATTCCTTCTACAGTTATTGATCTTGATTCTCCTTTCTTCCGTCTATTTAAAATTCATCCTGATTATAGTGCTTTACATACTTTTGGGTGTGTGTGTTTTGTTCACTTACCTCCTTTTGAAAGGCATAAGCTTGGAGCACAATCCGTTCAATGTGCATTTATGGGATATAGTAACTTTCATAAGGGATTTGTGTGTTATGATGTCTCTAACCATCGTTTTCGCATTTCTAGAAATGTGACATTTTTTGATAACCAGTTTATGTTTCCCTGTGGTTCTCCTGCCATTAATGATATTGTTACTCTTCCTAAGTTTTCTATTATGCCTCAAGCTATAGAACGTTATAAACCAGGTCATGTATATGTCAGAAAACACAGACAACAGGTTCCCACACCCCTTCCCGATGCTGAACTGCCACCTGATCCTGTACCGGTTGAACCACGACATTCTGGTCGAATATCCCGCGCACCAGATAGATATTCACCAGACAAGTATGATTCCTCACATACTTCTCTGACTGCCACACTCTCTAGCATATCTATTCCTACTTGTTACTCACAGGCTGTTAAAGATGTGCGATGGATAAAAGCAATGACTGAAGAGCTCCAAGCTCTTCAAGAGAATTTCACATGGGATATCGTCACTTGTCCTCCAAATGTAAAACCTATAGGTTGCAAATGGGTGTATTCTGTGAAACTGAATTCTGATGGGTCCCTCAACCGTTACAAGGCTCGTTTGGTTGCGTTAGGAAACAAGCAGGAATATGGAATTGATTATGATGAGACATTTGCACCGGTTGCCAAAATGACAACTGTCCGCACAATCATGTCTATAGCTGCTTCTAATGGGTGGACTCTTCATCAAATGGATGTGAAGAATGCTTTTCTTCATGGTGACCTGACAGAAGATATTTATATGACTCCACCTCAAGGCTTATTCTCTTCATCTAAAGCCGTGTGTAAGCTCAAACGCTCCTTATATGGTTTGAAACAGGCACCTCGAGCATGGTACGAGAAATTCCGCGCCACTATACTTGGATTCTCCTTTACTCAGAGTCAGTATGATTCATCTTTATTTATTCATAGCACATCTGCGGGTATTGTTCTGCTTCTTTTGTATGTTGATGATATGGTTATTACTGGTTCGGATCATGCTTCCATTCAGCGACTTAAGCAACAGTTACAGGCCTCATTTCATATGAAAGATCTGGGTAATCTACATTATTTTCTTGGTCTTGAGGTTCATTCTACATCCAAGGGCATCTTTCTCCATCAACACAAGTATGCTACAGATTTGATTTATATGGCCGGTCTTGAATCGGCTAATCCAGTAGATACTCCTCTTGAGGTTAATGTTAAATATCATCGTGATGATGGGGATCTGTTGCCTGATCCCTTATTGTATCGAAAACTTGTGGGTAGCCTCAACTACTTGACTATTACTCGCCCTGACATATCTTTTGTTGTTCAACAAGTAAGTCAATTCATGCATTCTCCTCGCCATCTTCACTTGTTTGCAGTTCGTCGTATAATTCGCTACTTAAAAGGAACCTCTCACCGCGGATTATTCTTTTCCGTTGGAACTTCTCTTCAGTTGAGCGCTTATAGTGATGCTGATTGGGCAGGGTGTCCTGATACTCGTCGATCTGTTACTGGTTGGTGTATGTTTCTTGGTTCTTCATTGATCTCTTGGAAAAGTAAGAAGCAAGCAAGAGTTTCTAAATCTTCTACTGAATCAGAGTATCGTGCCATGTCTGCTGCGTGTTCAGAAATACTTTGGCTTCGTGGTCTGTTGGCTGAACTTGGATTTCCCCAAACAGAGTCAACTTCACTTTATGCTGACAATACAAGTGCCATCCAAATTGTTGCAAATCCTGTTTTTCATGAACGCACCAAACATATCGAAGTTGATTGTCATTCAATACGTGACGCCTACGATGATCGAATAATATCACTTCCTCACGTCAGTACGCAGTTGCAGGTTGCAGATATTCTTACCAAGGTTGTTCCACGCCCAAGACATCAGTTTCTTGTTAGCAAATTGATGCTCCTTGACCAGCCGCATCAATTTGAGGGGGGATGTTAATTAGGAAATAATCTTTGCAGTTATTGTGAATAATTTACATTCATAGAATAGGAAATTAGTCATTATGAATTGTAATTAGTTATTATCAGCTATAATTAGTTATTATGAGTTGTAATTACCGACACTATTATATATAGTATGAAAGGCAATGAGAAAGGCATCAAGCCAAATTTCGTGACATATTAATACTGATTCTTCTTATACTTGTTTGGGTTGTTAGCTGTGTAATTTGACTTCTGTATTTTTTTTGTCTAAGGCATCAAAGATCTAGCAGATTTTATACCAGCATCTTTAGTTGCCATTGCAAGCTACTTTTCTGCCGAAGTTACAAGGGGCATATGGAAGCCAGCTTTCATGAATGGAGTTGATTGGCCTAACCCTGCTGCAAATTTATCCACTGTTGAGCAACAGATAAAGAAAATTTTAGCAGACACAGGTGTTAATGTACCAAGCCTTGATGTTGGTAATTAATCTTAGTCACTGTTACATTTGTTTTTAAAATAACTTAAATGACATTGTTACAAAGATCCATACGCTTAAAGGGGTTCGTCTTTGACAAATAAATCAACTAGCTGTATTTTTATGCATTCATGCAGGCAATTATGCTTGTGTTGGAGTAAGTTTGGATTTTTATTTTTGTTATTGTTATTGTATATTGAAATGGTAGGTCTCCGTTATATTGATAGTATTCTAAATTCCCTGTAAACAGATGGAGACTCTCCGGCTAAACTTCCTTTGCCTTTGGCAGCTTTGGTAAGCCTGTCCATAACATACAAATTTGACAAAGGCAGAGGGAGATTCCTTATCCTGATTGCCCCAGTTCTTACTGCCGTTGCTTCTGGTTGCCCCTGGCCCTGCATGCCCGTATTAACTTCTCTGTGGACCCAAAAAGTGAGGCGTTGGAGTGATTACTTTGTGCTCCGTGCTTCCGGAACTGTCTTCCACCACAATAGAGATGCTGTAGTTCAACTGCTAAAAAGTTGCTTCAAGTCTACTCTTGGATTTGGCACTACATCTATGAGTAATGATGGTGGTGTTGGTGCTCTTCTTGGTCATGGCCTTCCTTTCCAAGTTGCCAGTGGGGCTTCTCCAGTTGCTCCAGGGATTCTTTACTTAAAAGTGTACCGGTCTATTGGAGATATCACATTTTTGAACAAAGCAATCATGTCCGTTCTAATGCTTTCAGTTAGAGACTTGGTACGTAGTGAGTTATCTAAAGGCATTGTAAGGAAAACCAAATATGGAATGAAATGTGGACAGTTTTCTTTTTTCAGATACATGGCATGTGCCAAGCATGCTGCATTACTCGGGGCTTCTTTGATTTGGATATCAGGTGGTCAAAAATTAGTTCAATCATTGATAATAGATACCGTTACTTCCTGGTTTTTATCAGCTAATAAGTTGGAGCATAATGGTGAACAACCTGGAGCTCTGGTTGCCAGGCTTAGCGGCCATGCACTGGCGTATTTTGTTATGCTTAGTGCGGCATTTGCCTGGGATATTGACCATTACTCAGTTCCACCAAACCAACGGGCATTGGTTATTGGGGTGCATTTAGAATTCCTTGCAACCATCCTGGAGAAGAATGCATCACTATGTTGCCATCGTGCTACTTGGCGAGCCTATGTTTCAGGTTTTTTGAAGTTGATGGTGGGTTGCACTCCAAGGTGGGTCCAAGAAGTTGATGTGAAATTGTTGAAGAGACTGAGCAAGGGATTAAGAGGATTGAATGAAGATGAGTTGGCTCTTCGCCTTTTGGAAGCTGGAGGGATAGACGTCATGGGTGCGGCAGCTGAAATGATAATTGTACGTAGGTTGTAAATCTATCAGAACTAGGAAACAATATTCAGAGTAATACAATACCTTTTAGACAGATGTTAGTAATCTTTACTTTTAGAAACATCAGTGGTTTATACAACTTGCAATAAATTCCTAGTTACATTAATCAATTATAAAGATTTTATTTTCAAGTTGGTGCAGTGAAATACTCTTCTGCCTATTTCAATATACTTGTGATCAAATGGCTTTTATTCTGGCAGTGTGTTTTTCGGTAATTTGTGTCTATCAATATCTTTTACTGTAATTATTTGGAGTGTGATTTATACTATATGCAAACAAAAAATATAGGAATATAGGAACTTAAATACAAGAAGCTATATGGTTGAATCTCCTTTCATTATTTTTTCTTTACAATCTTGTATGGTGTCATTTGACAGCATCAGGGACCATAGTGAGCACCAAGTGATTATGGTACCCTGTTATGGATGGACTTTGCACCCGAGGTGAATGCGTTCCTGCAAGAGAATTTGTTCAGAACAGTGGATGGTAATTGGTAAAGAATGGTCCAGGATATTCTGGATTGTTCTAAAGTATTTCTTACTTAAATATTTTATCATACAATTACCAACCCGATTTTACAAGGAAAAAAGATAAGAGTGTCTCTAAATTAAACGAGGAAACTTTTGTCCTCAAATTAATTTTATCTTGCGATCTCAGTTATTAAGAAAATAGAAACTTCATGCATTCTCATTCAAGGCAACTCTACTTTAGAGGAATCACAATAACAATAACGATGACAATGGCAGGCTTGTCACATTTAGTGAGTCAAAGAATAACAAGTACATGAGGCTAATTGAATTTTCAATCACCAACCATGAGAAACCATCACTAAAAAATTACTGAGTATGTTTACACAAGACACCAACCTAGTATTTATTCTCATTATTTTGTTTTAATATTGTTATAATTATTGGTTTGCAGATCCACAGCGGAGGGAAATTCATGTAGTGACAAAATTTACATAGGATTGGAAGGGAAAGATTTTATCTGCAGCTCCGTAGCTATTGTGTTTCAAAGTGTTCTAACTAGTACTAATGTTCATTTTATAAGTAGACAAACCTCAAATTTGCTCTAGGACAAAATCAAAATCACCATTGTTCAAGAAAAACCCAGGAAACGGAAGAGCAGTATCAACTAAGCGGTACTGTGACGTCCCTTCTGGAGGCAAGGGTAAAACTACAGTTTCTGGACGATCACTGCATTGAAAGAAACAAATGAATCCCCTAATATGTCAGACAATACAGAGCTCTCTTGAAGCTCATTTCTTTCAGTTTTCAAAGTCATGGCTAGGAACTTGCAGGATGGATCTTCCTGTCTTGGTGGAGCCTCGTCAATTCCTTGCCATTCAATGTTTTTTCTTTTTCTTTTAAGAAGCTCCTATTTTGAAGATCACTCCGGCTTGTTCTCAACGAAGTCAAAAAGGAAATGAATTGTGTGGTTTGTATACCAAAACCTGTTTTTAAAGCAAGCCCAAATGAAGGCTTTTGTGTTACCATATGCAGGAGAACCACCGGAGGAGTGGCCACACTCATCTCCCATGTTCAAAATAGGTACCCCTAATGACACAAACAAGATGAATAGGAACTTGCGGATTTGTTTGAGTCGTCTTTCAAGGACAACAGTACTCTTAGTAAGTCCTTCTCCACAATTCCAACTCAACTCAGGTTCTAGATCATCACTGCTCAAGAAAACGACCCCTAGGCTATCCAAAATGAATAAGAACTATAGGATAGTTACAATTCAAAGCACTATGTACCTTTAAACCAACACCATTTGGATAATAGTAAGATAAGTCATCAATACCTTGCAGAGCACCAACCTCGGCTCGGCAGTACTGGAGAAAACAACTTCCATTATAACTTCTATCCAATTGGCATGCATAGTTTTCACCATCTCTTTCCGAGTTTATGGTAGATACAGGATCACCAGAAGGTCCATAAAGGTTCATTGGAGAGACAAAATGACAAGGAAAATAAGGCCCCCTTTCCTCATCAAACGTGAAAACTGGCTCCAACAGAACAGCATTCACACCCAGATCATTAAATTGCTGCATTTTTTTTAACCAAACCAGAAAATATCCCAGCTAAATAACTGGAAAGTTGACTCGACTCATGCTCGGTAAAATGCTTCTCATTCAACTCATACACCACTAGTTTCTCCATGTCTAAATCCAGATGATAATCATCACCCCGATCAAAATCCAAGGTTTTTACCAGACCCAATATTTAGGAAAAGAATTCCCAACAATTCTAGCATAAGGGTCCGAAACAACACACTCCACATAACTGTTATCGCTGTTAGGTCCTCTAAGCGATAACCATAGCTCACAAAAGTCTTTGCATTCTCCAAAGAGATATGCCAAATATCACCTGACCTATTCACATAAGGATCAAGATCAAGCTCCAAAGCAGGCTTCTCCACGCCAGTGTCGTCATACAAACACAATACCACACCCTCTACATTCATCTACTTAAAAATCATTTGATTCCTATTGCGAGAAATATCTTCCTTATGCCATTTGGCCGGGAATTTTTTACGTTTCTATGACCACAATAGGACGGGGATTGAGTTTGCATGACACCCGGTTGTTGATATAAAAAATCATGACTACAATTTAAAAACTATCAATGATTCAGAAGAAATTAATCACATGTTAGACCGCAGGAAATCACAAAAGTAGTGCTAGTTCGAGATTGACGTTCAGATGCCAAAAATCACAATCTCATTGCTGCAACAGAATGACATGAAATTCCGGAACATAAAGGTACGAAGCAACCGGATTATATATCAAGGTTCATGATAAAAAGAGTTTGCAACCTTATTAAAAGAAGTCAATTCTGTTATTTATTACTCAGACTCCTATTTGGTTTTTCTAGAATAAAAGACAAAGATCAAATTTACAATCTATTATGTTCCAAACACAATCAATAAGTGTAAGAAAATTGACACAGAATATTTACGTGGAAAACCTTTAATAAATAAGAAAAAAACCACATACACCGGCAAAAAGGATTTTCACTAAGTGAAAGAAATTACAACACTTCTCTCTATATACAAGGAGAGAACAAATTACACTCTCTCTTGTAATAGAAGAACACTCACTAAAAGAACCTTATAGAAGAAAATACAATATATTCTATCTCTCTAAATTTTTCTTTTATGTTATGTTGTAATGTTTTGTGTTGTTGTGTTAGGAATGAGAAATGTACCTCTATTTTTAGGTGTTCATCTTTACAAAACCATGAGAGTTGTTACAAAAACATAAGTGCAAAATCATGGGTGTTTCTTTCTTGATCCACAAATTGTGACTTTATTCAACCACAATCCTTGACCATAATCTTTTACCATGATCACAATATTTGACTATGACCACAATCTTTGACAATCTCCCACTAAGTCACATTTATTATCTTCCAAAATCTTCTCTACCTTGCCAACTTCATGCTGATTACGCCTCTAATAGGCCATAGGAAGACCTACACCATACAAACTTATCAGAGTTAATCGACTTCGTCATTGCATCTGTTAGATTATCTTTAGTGTGAATTTTCTACATATCCACACTCCGTTCTTTTACTACCTCTCTGAAAAAATGGTATTGAACTCCTATGTGTTTTGTCTTGGAATGAAAAGCTGGATTTCTTGCAATGTGCAAAGAACTCGGACTGTCACAGTACACAGTAATCTTTTGTTGCTTGTGCCAGAGTTCTTCCAATAACCTTTGAATTCAAATTGCTTCTTTACATGCTTGGGTAGCGGCTATGTATTCAGCTTCTGTAGTAGAAAAAACTACAACAGTTTGGATAACCAGCGCACCGCTCTCCTGCAAGTGTGAACACATAATCAGTAGTAGATTTTCTTTTATCAAGGTTGCCTGCAAAATCTGAATCAACATAGCCTCTGATAGTGAATTATGATCCCCTAAAACATAATGCAACACTTGAGGTTCCTTTTATATATCTAAGGATCCTCTTAACAATATTCTAGTGTTCATTACCTGGATCTGCCATAAACTGACTGACCGCTCCAATTGCTTGAAAAATATATGGTCTAATACATATCATAGCATACATAAGGCTTCCTACCGCTGATCCATACGCTACTCGACACATTTCCATCCTTTTTGCTTCATTTCTAGGATTCACACTTGAGGATAATGTATAATTGACCGGAAGTGGGATAGAGATTGACTTACAGTCTTGCATGTTAAAGCGGCGCAAAACTTTTTGAAGATAATTTTTCTGAGAAAGCCAAATCCTTTTGTATTTTCTGTCTCGGTGAATTTGCATCCCTAAAATCTTGTTTGCTAGTCCCAAGTCCTTCATATCAAACTCCCTAGCCAATTGTGCCTTCAATTCTTGGACTTGATCTTTGTTGGAGTCTACCACCAACATGTCATCCACATACAACAACAAAATGATAAAATCATCATTATCACCAAACCTTTTATAATACGTACAATGGTATGAACTTAATTTGTTGTATCCAAGGCTCATGATGAAGAAATAAAATCTCTTGTACCAACACCTTGGCGCCTGTTTTAAACCGTACAGAATATTGGTCAACCTACAAACCAAGTTTTCTTTTCCTTGTTCTTCAAAGCCTTCGCGTTGGAGTATATATATTTCCTCTTCATGTTCTCCATGAAGAAATGCAGTCTTTACATCAAGTTGCTATAGATTTAAGATCAATTGCAACACACATTGTCAAGACCACTTTGATTGTGGTGAGTCTTACCACTGAAGAAAATATCTCATTGAAATCAATACCTTATTTCTAAGCATATCCTTTGACCACCAGTCTTGCACGACATCGTTCCACCTGATCATTGTCATCTCGTTTAATTTTGAACACCCATTTGCTGTCGATGACTTTCCGACCTTTAGGAAGTTCAACAAGCTCCCATGTGTTATTTCTATGTAAGGCTTCAATTTCATCTTGCATTGCTGCTATCCACATAGAAACAATTGAACCATTTAATG